TTTTATAAAAATCTCTAAAAATCATAAAAATTTGAGTATCACAAAACTTATAGAGACTTTTAAAAAAATTTAATTGAATGCACTGTAACTTTTAAAGTTTTTAAAAAAATTTATATAAATTTCAATTGAATATACCTATATTTTTAGAGAGTTCTTTTACATTGAATACATTTAAATTTTTTAAATCTCAAAAAATCATTAAAAGTGTCAATCAAATGAACCTCTAAGTTTAAACACTTGAGCGTTATCCATTTCTCATTCACCCAATCACCCTTCGTTCTCCCAAGAGTCATTGATGCGGGCCCTACCTAAAATTAGATTGAGACAAATATTGCAATTTATTTAGTTAGATTATCCCAAATTCATATTCAGTGGCCCGCTCACAAAATTTAGTTGGATCATCCTTTCACGTGTTAAATTCCATATTTAATTTTTTAAACAAATATTATTATCAATTAACTTGCCCCAGTCTGTGATTTGACAGACATTTTATAAGAATTATGATTTATGTTCAACAACAATGTCCTTAAGCAAATAAGGTTAAGATATTGCTCAGAAGAAAATTAAAAGGGAAATGTTAAATAAACCAATTAATTTATTCTCATTAAATTATAGTTAACATATGAGTCCTTTTTATTCGTTGCATTTTTATTTCTTCATTGAATTTTATCTTATCAATGTTACATTCTTAACACACTCCTCTATCATAAGAAGGGAAGACGAGCTTTTTTCGTAGTTGGTTAATTTTTCATTGAATTTTATCGTATCAATGTAACATTCTTAATATTTATCTAGTACTAAGGGTCCATTTAACATGACTTTTATTTTTACTTTCTGCAGAAGAATTTTTGAAAGAAGTTAACTTAATTTTCGTTTGAAAACTAATTTTCAAAAGAGCTTCATATTCTAGAAGTGCTTTTAGATAAAGTCATATTGGACCCGTTTCCTCTAAAAGCTCATCAACTAGAACAAACACTTTCATAAAAGGGAACAATACATAAATAAGGTATTTAGGTATCACCATTTCAAAATTAAGGCTTGAAGTTTTAAATCTCAAAAATCAGGTTTTCATTAAAAT